CAGACGGTTTCACAAAACACCACTCCAGGCGTTTGCCAAGAGGACTGGCTTGAAAGTCCAGGCTTGGGATGCAGAAGTCGGGAATGCAGGAACTAGGAGGAAGTCCCTTAACTTCTGCCAGCTTGGCCTTCACTCTGACCACCTCTGAAGCCTGAGGGTGATTCGCTGCCCTGTTCCTCCCCATCCAGGCCCAAGTCACTAAAGTATTTTGGGGAAACCCTGGGCACCTTGAAGTTTGCTCCTATGGATAATGTAATAATAATTGCTTATATTTGTCTAGGGATTTAAGGTTGCAAAGCCTTTCTCTTATATTCCCTAAGTTGAGTGTCACCCCTTGCCCATGACATGGGCAGATTGATTTTCTTTCTGCTTTATAAATAAATGACGTGACTTTTCCAAAGTAAAAGTTTGTGCCGGGACTAGGGTCAGAACACAGGTCTCCACAGTCCTGCTCAATGATCTTCTCATAGGAGGATCTCTTGTTCTAAACAAAGATCTTGGTTATTGTAAAGCACCTGTGCACACTTGCTGATCAACAAACAGCTGGTCCTATTATTATTACTGTCATTGTTGTAATTCATAGGCAGGATCTTTGGCCACACATAATTTTGGGGTGTGATGACACCAAGACTTGCCGGTTCTCCAGACTTAGGCATGAGGTGGAAGTGATGGTTTCCTCTCTTCCTACACCTCCAAACGGTGAGATCCTGAAGGTGCCATATGGCTGTTGCATGAGTAAGCCTTAGGTTTTCCTGAAAAGTGAGTTGCCTGTGTGCCACGTCAATGGAGATCTATGTGACAACCAACTGGTATGACAACCACCCTGGGGCTGCCTGGCACGCACATACTCCTAAGGGCTCCGTGCGAGCTGCCATTCCTTATTTATTTAGTGCCATTTGTTGATGACTCGTTTCTGCAGGGAAAACTGGTTCCTTCGTTTCCCCTGGCATCTTCTGTGCCCTCCGCACTGTAGGACACAACCTTTCCTGTCAACACAGGTACTTTTAATTGGTGCTGGCACCAGCTTACTCCCTGAACATTCTTCCTGATGTCATGGAATCCTGGGAAAATTGGTGGGCTTCTCTAATGGTGGAAATCTAAGGTCATACTTCATACCGTAGACCCAACTACTACTTTCCAGAAGAAATAAGCTGTCAAGGAAGATGCTGATTTTTCATACCCTGAGAGAGACATTTAGGAGGTAAACTACTGACCTGCCTCAAGGATATCATTAATCATCTGCACTTAGAGGTGCTAGGTACTCACCTCGCACCTGTGACGCACTTACTAAATATTTGTTGAATGACCTTCTAGAGCAGTAGTTTTCCAGTCTTTAGTGAGTCCGCCGACACGAGGATCACTGGCAGGATCTGCTCAAACACAGACTGGGAGGCCCCACCCCCAGAGTTTCTGACTTCGTTGGTCTTGGAAAGGACTAAATACTATACCTTTCTAACAAGTTCCAGGTGATGTGATGCTGTGTGGGAACCATGCTTTGAAAACCCCTGTCTTAAAGCAGGGCTTGGCAAACTTTTCCTAAAAGGGCCCCAATAGTAAATATTTTAGATTTTGTGGCCCACACAGTCTCTGTCATAATTATTCAACTCTGCCATTGTAGCCAAAGAAAATATGTAAGTAAAGGGGCATGGCTTTTTTCCAATAAAATTTTATTTACAAAAACAGGTGGTGGACTTGTTTCAAAAAAAAAAAAAAATGTGTTGCAGATATAAAAATCTGTTGTAAAGATATTGAGAGCCAGATCCTCATTCTGAGTAGATCTCCAAAAGCTCTTGGGATGGGAATCCAATGTTGGTCACATCGTAGGTCTGTGCTCTCTTAAGCAGCACAAATACAAAACTTGGAGTGAAACGAAGATGAGCATTGTTCCTGTGCAAGGATGACGTGCAAATGTGTAAACCGTTTCATATAAAAAAAATCTGAATTATGATGTTCATCAACCATGTGATTTTGGGAAGGTCACTAACATCTCGGTAAAACGAGGATAATTTCGCATTAAAAACCAGGGAAAATGCTCACTTTTATAAGTTCTGGGTGGTGCAGACACGAGGGGTTTACTATTCTTTATACTTCTCTGTATGATTGAACTATTTCAGAATTCTCAAATCTTTAAAAAGTAGTCATAGGCCGGGCGTGGCTCACACCTGTAATCCCAGCACTTTGGGAGGCCGAGGCGGGCGGATCACGAGGTCAGCAGATCGAGACCATCCTGGCTAACACAGTGAAACCCCGTCTCCGCTGAAAATACAAAGAATTAGCCGGCCATGGTAGTGGGCACCTGTAGTCCCAGCTACTCGGGAGGCTGAGGCTGGAGAATGGCATGAACCCAGGAGGTGGAGCTTACAGTGAGCCAAGATTGCACCACTGCACTCCAGCCTGGGTGACAGAGCAAGACTCCGTCTCAAAAAAAAAAAAAAAAAAAAAAGAAAAGTAGTCATAACAAGCCTTTGGCATGTATGTGGCTTAGGCTTTAGGTTCCATAGTCAACCAAAAGGTGAATTATCTTATAGTCAGAATCACCTTTGGAATTCCCCGAAATCACCAGCACCAAGGCCCTCAGAAAGTCAGCAGCCAAGAATATTCTACTTTGTGTCACTTTGCATTACAGAAACCCTGGGAGAAAGGATAATTCAAGCTTGGCATGTCTACAGTAGATCTCTGGATCTCTTGCCCTGCCCCAAACCCTGCTTTTCTAAGGTCTTGCTTAATTCAGTGGATGGCCACTCTGCCTTTACAGTTGCTTAGGCCACAAAGAGTGATTCAAGAGGAAGAACTTAACAGGAATGAGTCCTGATAGGTACATGTTGAGTATGAAATTGTTTTGTAGTTCCAATAGAACAGCTGAGTCTATGGTCATACCACCCTGTACAGGCCTGATCGAAAGCTAAGCAGGGTGGGGTCTGGTTAGTACTTGGATGGTAGACAAATGGATCATCTGAGTAGAAGCTCGGAGCTCTACTATTTATTTATTTTTTGAGATGGAGGCTCGCTCTGTCGCCCAGGCTGGAGTGCAGTGGCACAATCTCAGCTCACTGCAACCTCCACCTCCTGGGCTCAAGCGATTCTCCTACCCCAACCTCCCAAGTAGCTGGGATTACAGGCACGTGCCACCATGCCTGGGTAATTCTTGTATTTTTAGTAGAGACAAGGTATCACCATGTTGACCAGACTGGTCTCAGACTACTGATCTCAGGTGATCTGCCTGCCTCGGTCTCCCAAAGTGCTGAGATTACAGGTGTGAGCCACCATGCCCAGCCTACTTTTATATATTAATAAACAGAGGAGGCCGGGCACGGTGGCGCACAGCTGTAATCCTAGCACTTTGGGAGGCCAAGGCAAGTGGATCACCTGAAGTCAGGAGTTTGAGACCAGCCCGAGTAACATGGTGAAACCCCATCTCTACTAAAAATAAAAAAAAATTTTTTTAATAAAAAAATTAGCTAGGGGTGGTGGCAGGCACCTGTAATCCCAGCTACTCGGGAGGCTGAGGCAGGAGAATCGCTTGAACCTGGGAGGCAGAGGTTGCAGTGAGCCGAGATTGTGCCACAGCACTCCAGCCTGAGTGACAAAGCAAGACTCCGTCTCAAAAAAATAATAGTAATAAAATTGAATAAATAAAAAAATAAGCAGAGGCCCCAGAAGCAGAGGTGCTTGTCTGCACTACCTGCGTGGTACCTACCTACCCTGTGATACGGCACTCTTCTAAGCATTTTACAAAGACTGACTCGTTTTGTCCTTATTTATAGTAACCACAGAAGACAGATGCTGTTAATTTCTCAGCTTACAGATGAGGCAGAAAGGATAAGTAATTCACCCAAGGCCATGCCTCTGGGAAGTAGCAGAGCTGGAACCTGAACCCAGGCAGTGACTCCAGAGTCTATGCTCTTTAACTGCGATGGTCTTCTGTATATAATTTTCCTCCCCTATCCATAATCTGTGAGTTGAGGAACAAAAGCTTAAAAATCTAAAGAAAAAAAGATGTCTGGTTGCACCTTCGGTGCTCTATGTGGTATGCAAGAGAAGGTAATGAAATTGCAGTGGGCTCTGGGGAAGCGTAATGTCAGTGCCTTTCCAATTTTCATCTGACCATGCTGAGTTTCCCTATAAAAAGCATAAAATACTTTGGAGATGGTGCAGAAGCAAGAAAATGTACCTGTCAGTTTGGATGTAGATGTGGTTTCACAGTGTATTGTATTTCTGGATACCCTGTCCAAGAGGAGATCTTCTGAATGATCCATTTAGGGTTTTTCCTGTTCAGCTTCAAAAACACACCAATGTTGTGTCTACTTGTGCCCCAGCCTGTGCTAGGCACTGGGGAGACCGAGATGCCAAGTTGTTTAAAACACTCTACTGGTCCCCAAGGGCTTTGGTGACCATAGCTCCAGAAGTAATAGCTTTGGTGGAAACCGTGGTATGTGCAAATTTCACCCCATAAAGAGAGGAAACATAGGTATTCATTATGTAAAACACGATGCAGGCCAGATGCAGTGGCTTACGCAGCACTTTGGGAGGCCAAGGCTGGTGGATCACCTGAGGTCAGGAGTTCAAGACCAGCCTGGCCAACATGGTGAAACCCCATCTCTACTAAAAGTACAAAAATACCCGCATCGTGGCGGGTGCCTGTAATCCCAGCTACTCTGGAGGCTGAGGCAGGAGAATCGCTTGAACCTGGGAGGCAGAGGTTGCGATAAGCTGAGATCGTGCCACTGCACTCTAGCCTGGGAGACAAGCAAGACTCCATCTCAAAAAAAAAAAACAAACCAGTAACTATTTTAGATATTTATTAAATATAAATTTAATTTATATAATTAAATATAAATTAAATTATATTTAATTATATAAATTTAATTTACATTTAATTATATAAATTTAAATTATATTTAATTATATAAATTGGGGAGTGGTGGGGCCTGAGCTTGGCTTAATCTAAAAACGTGGTCCTTTCGTGACTAAAATGAGCACTGTGCTTCTTCTCCTCCCAGGACCCCAGGAGCAAGCACAAGTTCAAAATCCACACTTACGGAAGCCCCACCTTCTGCGATCACTGTGGGTCCCTGCTGTATGGACTTATCCACCAAGGGATGAAATGTGACAGTAAGTAAGTTTTCTTTTCCAGTTCATAGCGAGGCTCTGTAGCTCATGTTCAGGGTTTGCTGAGCAAGGAGGGCTCAGTAACTTTTCAACACCAACTCTTCAATAGAGAGAATTAGTTCAGATATATACCAGACTGACAAAGTGTAGAATCTTCCACTGTCAAAGTTCCAGTTTATTAAACTACTTGATTGCCTCATTATGAACCCCAAAAAAGCACTCGATTTATAAATGAGATGGGGGGTGCTGTCACTTTTTTTTTTCTTCCTTTTTTTTTTTTTGTGTGGCAGAAGTCTTCAATCACTGTAAAATATAGCCTAGTCAAACCCCAAAGAAGCCTCCCGCCGCCGGGTCCACATTTGGTTAGCTTCAAAATAAGCCAAGCAGCCATACTCATTATCTTCCTGTGTCTCTAATTAGTGGGTGGACTGTGGAAAAATCCAGTAGGCTCTTCTTAAAACTGAAACCAAAATGAACATAAAAACCAGAATAGCATCTTATTTAAGTTCACTCACCCTGCATGTTTATGGACGGATCAAATGTGTATCAGCCCGGCTCAGAACACTGAGGACCACTGACAAGCAAGACACCAGCCCTTTTCTGTTATTTTTTGTTATGTGTGTATCTCCATCAACTACCAGGAGGAAAGAAAAGCAACTATGAAGACTCTTTGCTTTGATCATTCTTTTTTTTTTTTTTTTTTTTTTGAGATGGAGTCTCTTTGTCAACCAGGCTGGAGTGTAGTGGTGCGATCTCAGCTCACTGCAGGCTCTGTCCCCCGAGTTCACGCCATTCTCCTGCCTCAGCCTCCCGAGTAACTGGAACTACAGCCCCCACCACCACACCCAGCTAATTTTTTGTATTTTTAGTAGAGTTGGGGTTTCACCGTGTTAGCCAGGATGGTCTCGATTTACTGACCTTGTGATCTGCCCGCCTCGGCCTCCCAAAGTGCTGGGATAATAGGCGTGAGCCACCACACCCAGCCTGCTTTGATCGATCTTAAAGTTTGAGATTCCTCAGGCTATGTTTGTTTAAATACAAGTTGATACTTTTAGGACATGAAAAGTTAATTGCCCAGCCTGTTTTTCTAATAGGTTGGGAAGCACTGTGGAAATTTCAGCCTATTGCCATTTGCTAATGACTATTGCCATTTGCTATGACGGTCAGAAGCTGATATTTGTATCTTACATGAGCAAACTGTAGAAAAAGGAACATAAACGAGCATTATAGAGTAGATGGAGTTTCTCAGACACAGAGATTCTTCACCTTACAGAGTTGTACAGCGTCACAACCAAATGCCATATTTGTTTGCTTCAAGAAACCCTAGGATTTCCACCTGTAATCCCAGCACTTTGGGAGGCCGAGGCGGGCGGATCACCTGAGGTCAGGAGTTCAAGACCAGCCTGACCAACATAGTGAAACCCTGTCTGTACTAAAAATATAAAATTAGTTGGGTGGTGGCGGGCACCTGTAATCCCAGCGACTCAGGAGGCTGAGGCAGGAGACTAGCTTGAACTCGGGAGGTGGAGGTTACGGTGAGCCAAGATTGTGCCATTGCACTCCAGCCTGGGCAAACAAAAGTGAAACTTGGTCTCAAAAAACTAGAGGAAAAAAAAACCTAGGATTCCAAAGATATGGGTTTCAGGGGTTCTGCGAGGGCTTACAACTTAAGTGCATTTGTATATATATTTTAACTACTTCAAAACTGGGAACAAAATAAACATTCGAACATGTTACATACTCAACCTTCACTCCTTGGGCAGAACTTGGTTTCTGCTACAGCATCCTCTTCACTGAAGAGTCAGCTGGGATGGGGAAGCATACCATTAGACATTGTTCCTGTTTGTACATAGTTTTCTGTGTGAATCAGGAGTTTTGGATCCTGTACCACTTTAACAAAATGCAAAAATAAATGAGATGTGGAGGCTGGTCTGAGACATCAACTTGCATCCCTAACCACTGGTTTCAAAGTTCTGTTTGTATCGGAGGGCTTTACTGGTGATCCTTGAATGTCTTTATAATAAATATATGGTATAAATTTGCGTTTGTTAGCTGAGTTGATGCTAATAAAATAACACTCATGTGGTTTACATAATTAGATTCTGCTTTAGATTTTGTTTGCAAAATGGTTTCCTTACTAAAAAAATTTTGAAAACCGCTGACCTGGACCAATGCTTTTTTGTTTGGTTTTGTTTTAAACTCTTTTTCTTAGGAATCTTAAGGCTTCTGTGGCTGCCGCCTGTGCTCCTTTGATGAGCCCCAGAACTGCAACCCCTACTAACCTTAAATTCTGCAGAGAAAAAGCCTCTTCCCGTGCCCTTCCACCTTGTGCAATTGTAATCCTAGATAGAGTTCCACTTGGGATGGGGCAGGGTGTCAGGGGGCAGTGAGCAACAACAACTCGAGTGGGCCAACCTCTCATTTTGTAGAGCTGGAAATGAAGTTAGAACAAATGAGCTTCCCAAGATACACAGCGGAGACTGGAACACGGCCCAGTGCACTTTCACCTCCCGTACCCTCCCCGTTGCCTGTGTGCTTTCCAGAGGCTCTGGCATTTACTGCCTTCACATTGCAAATTTTGCCCGGACACTTAAACACACGACATGGTTAACGCAAGCGACATTCATAACACAGCTTTTCAGGAGCCTTTATATTGGCTAAATTCGAGGTGTAGAATTTTGAATAGTTAGCCTTGGAAATGGAAGCCTAATAGCATCCACATTTGTGAATTAGCTAATTGTTCTTTCCTCAGCATGTCCATCATTCTGCTGTCAGTCTTTAATCGGAGCGGTATACATTATTCATGATGCTTTTTCAATTTACTTGGTCATGTTAAAATTAAACACTCCAAATGAAACGGAGAGGAAGACCCCACCTTGATGATTACGGAATAACCTTATTAGCCTCCTGGCAAGGATTCGTGAGGATTCCAGGGGCCTTCCCTCCTTCTGGAAGCCTAAAGGTACAAGGACGATCGAGCTAGAACACCTATACACGGTCTTCTGTTTGTTTCCGGCACACAGGATTCTTTTCAGGGTTTCTTTGGTTCACTGCAATAATACTGATCTTTTTTTATCCTCCCCCTGTCTCACCCACATAATGTCAGCTGTAAGGAGTGGCTGATCATGCTAGGCGGGTATTTGTTTTACTTGGAATAATATTTAAATATTTGAAGACAGGTTTAAAATACCAAATACAAGTTCTTTGGGGAAAAAAACACAGGCAGTGTACTTAAACCTTGTTGAAAATACAAGGTTAGCTGAGGAAAGGAAAATTTAATGAATTTTCTATACTCAATCTGCAGATTTTCACTGTTTCTCAGTGGTAAGCCCAGAAAAGCATACAGAATTCATTAGCAAAAAGTCTTATGTTTAAGCTGGGAGCAGTGGTTCACATCCGTAGTCCCAGTACTTTAGGAGGCCTACATGGGAGGACCGCTTGAGCCCAGGAGTTCAAGGCTGCACTGAGCTAGGATTATGCTACTGCACTCCAGCCTGAGAGACAAAAGGAGACCCTGTCTGAAGAAAAAAAAAAAAATCCTATGTTTAAAATTTTCATATTACTTTGCCTCTGTGTACATAAAATATTAATTAAGCTGAGCTTTGTACATATTTACCTGTGTGAATTTTGTATACTGTTAAATATTTGAAACGATCACAGAAGGCCAAGCTGGGATATTTTGCTTCAGTGAAGATTGAGCAAATATGGTATGGGTATTTTAAGGATATTGTCACTCACATGAAGCCTGTGCTGTACAGGACATCTGCTAACAGTTCTTTATGTCACCAAAAACAGTATAGCAAAGTATCGAGTTGGGGGTAACTCATTTTCACTTCTGCTCGTGCACCAAAACACTGAGGAGCGGTGGTTGGAGTCCATATGCCCAGCTCACCCTCTGCTTTCTTGATTCACAGCCTGCGATATGAACGTTCACAAGCAATGCGTCATCAATGTCCCCAGCCTCTGCGGAATGGATCACACAGAGAAGAGGGGGCGGATTTACCTAAAGGCTGAGGTTGCTGATGAAAAGCTCCATGTCACAGGTAAGGCTTGCTCATCCCGGAGCAGCATCGTGGGCAGGCATTTGGATGAAGGTTGATATTAAGGCAGGGTGGGGGCTGAGCTGTATGCCCTGAGGCCTCTGGAGAGGCAGTTGCCCTGGTGGAACCATCACTTTCTGGGAGCCCTGCAGCCCTCTGAACCCTCACGTTAATACACCTCCCAGGAGACGGGTCTGTACACCCAAATTCCCAAATACTCAATGTCACACGAAGTCACAACCACTGTGTGGATTGGACTATTCTGACAGCATGGCCTGTATACTCTCCTCCCGGTGACAGGGGGTCAGGGGAGCCAATTAATCAAAATGCTGTTGGAGGGAGTGGAACTAGAACAAGGGGAGGCAAATGGATGGATGACCCAGGTGTTTTGTGGCATTGGGCTGTGATGGCCCAATAAATCCACCTCAGCAACAGCAACAGTCGTTGAGTGCTTTTGCTTCCCCTGTGTTAGGGATGGTGCTAGGAACTTCACATAGATGAATTATTTAGACCTGACACCTAGCTGGTTATTAACTTCATCTTCCAGAAGAGGACACTGAGACAGATCAGTCCTTTGCAGTGTGACAGTTAGTAAGTGAGGAGCTGGGATGGGTACGGAGGCATTTGACTCCAGATACTGTGCTTGTAATTACCACAGCTCCCACAAACAGCCTGGCTAGGTGACCAGAATTCCCTGTCCATGGGCCTGGTTACTCCCTCCTCGGGGCTATTTCTGGGTGGGCTCTGCCATAGTGTAGCTTTTCCTTTGGTTTTCCCACCAAATCCACTTTCGGTTAATCGGCACACACAGTCAAGTTATCCTGGAGTCCTATTGGCCTAGGACCCATCCCGTGTCCTCAAGATGACTTGAGTTCTCTGTACCATGACCCACTCCATGTTGGTGTGTGGTTGAACTCTCAGGCATCAGCCTATTTCCTTGTACTTGGGGGTCCCGGAGGGACCAACTGTATACATTACTCTTGTTGACAAGGGCATTCATCTTGAATTGATCAGCAAAGGTATCTTCCATTTGTATCTAGGAATTTGAAGCTGTCATAAACATGGAAAGACTGATGCTAATCTATTATGTTTAGATAACAGAAAACATAGAAGAAAGGCTTAGGAGGATCTGTTTAAGAAAAAAAAGGAAAGATGGGGGCTTCCAAAGAAAAGCTTACTTTTGGAAACATCCTCAGGTTTTTCCTTTGAAAGATAAGCAAATGTTCGAACCAGGGCTGTCCTCTCAGGTAAGAACTCAAAGAAAACCACAGGATTCCAAGGTATCGCTAGGAGGGAGTAACAGTTTGCCTCCAGATAACCTTGAAACCAGCTATAGCTGATGGTCAGAATGGAATTGGGAATGAAATCCCTATCATAGATACAGAATCCCTTCTGACTTTTTGTAGATTTTAGAGAAATTCTTTTATTTTCTCAAGACCATCCCTATAATGCCTTTGGGGCTGTGGCCGTCACCTGCATTTCTTTTTAATGGGCTGATGCTGTCCTTGGAATCCACTCTGCCCTTATCTGACAGCCAGGGCCCCTCTGACTGGGAACTGCTGCTCTCTGCCCAGAGGAAGATGGTGTTCCTTGGGGGCCATGAGCTAGGCCATGAGACCCCTCTGCAACATCACAGCCTTGCTCTTGTTTCTCTTTTCTACTAAGGCTTCCACATTGTCAAAACCACGTATGGGGGAGCAGATTTTGCAGTCAAGGGGAAAATTACCATAACACCTAGTGTTCATAGGTGGTAAGGGATCAAGGGGCATAAAGTAGAATGCCTATGGGCTAAACATTTCTACGCTTTTCTTACCTTTTCCTTGATTTCCAAAGCGACTGCTGTTGGCAATAGAATAGACATCACAGGTGAATATTCAGAGTTTAATTATGGGTTTACATGTGGCTACCTTATGGCTCGCTGTAAGGCAGGAATGCCTGGACAGAGCATTTAAATGTTTAGCTGGCATTCTTTGTGTTTCTAGATAAAGGAAAACATGCACGCTGTGCATGCTGGACACACCCCGTGCCGTCTTCGGTAATAAAAGCAGCAACCATATGTACTGCCTGAACCTTCCAGTCTCTCCTATGAGCCTCCACAGCCTTGCAGATCTAAAACTGCACAGAGAGGCGCAGATGCCCTGGCTGGAGTGGCACAGGTACACAGGTGGAAGAGAAAGGTCAGACCTCTTCGTGCTAGAGCTTACATCAGGCTAATTCCTCTACTATTGCCAAGAGTTGAACTTGACTCACAATTGTAGAATCGGCTTAAGGAACAATACCTTTCACTGGGTTGGACGTCGACTTTTTACATGTGAAAGCCAGCCAGTATTACTTATGGCAACTATCTGGGCCAAGTCCCTTGAGAATTAGTTTACAAATTTTCGTAGAGCTATAGCTCCACTCTAGGAATGTGAATTCAGCAAGTTTAATAATAATAATGTCTTATTCCATTCAGGCCACTATCACAAAATACCTTAGACTGGGTTATTTTTAATAGGAATTTATGTATCACAGTTCTGGAAGCTGGGAAGTTCAAGATCGAGGCCCCAACAGATTCAGTGTCTGGTGAAGGCTCCGTCTCTGCTTCATAGATGGCGCTTCTCACTGTGTCCTCACATGGAAAAGGAAGGCAGGCTGTGTCCTCACATGGTGCAAGGAGCAAACTTGCTCCCTGTTACCTCTTTTATAAGGCTCTGCGTTTGGATGAAATATCCCAAAGCAATTACTTCCCAAATGCCCTACCTCTTAATACTATCACACTGGGAATCCAGTCTTAAGATATGAATTCAGACCATAGCAAATAATAGCAGCAGCTCACAGCTACTCAGTGCTTCCCCCACAGGACCACTTTTTAAGTACTTTATGTACTAACTTTTATTCAAATCTGTGAAGAAGTTGACTTTATTATCCTTACTTTATAGATGAAGAAACAGAGACACAAGGAAATGAAGTGACTCACCCAGAGTCACACAGATGGTAAATTGGATGGCTAAATATTTAAATGGCAGATGCAGAGAGAAGATATTTTGATGACAGTATCCATAAGAATCGGAGTCTATTTTTGAAGTACAGTTGTGTGTGTGAAGGGAATCCAATCTTAAGTATGGAAAGTCAGGCTCAAGGAAATAACTAATTAGTAATTACATCTTTTAACGTTTTAAATTTAAAGTAATTTAAAATTTTCAGAAAAGTTGCACACATAGTACAGGGTTCTCGTACACCCTTCACCCAGCAACCCCTGGTGTTAATGCCCTTGTATAACTATAGTAGCTGATAAAATTTTGAAAAATAGGTACTTACAGCTGGGTGCGGTGTCTCCCACCTATAATCCCAGCACTTTAAGAGGCCGAGGCGGGTGGATCGCTTGAGGTCAGAGCTTGAGACCAGCCTGGCCAACATGGTAAAACCCCGTCTCTACTAAAAATACCAAAAATTAGCCAAGTGTGGTGGCGTGCGCGTGTAGTCCCAGCTACTCAGGAGGCTGAGGCAGGTTAATCGCTTGAACCTGGGAGGAGGAGGTTGCAATGAGCCCGAGATTGTGCCACTGCACTCCAGCCTGGGCGATAGAGCGAGAGTCCATCAAAAAGAAAAAGAGAGACAGAGAGAAGGGAAGGGGAGGGGAGAGGAGGGGAGAGAAGGAAGGAGTACCCGTATTAGTTACTAGGAATTGTTTTAAAGAGCCAAATAGAAGACATCAGACTCATCTTCTTTCAGTATAAAAGGGCCGCAAGTGGTACTAAGCAGAGCCCCCTGGGGGCAGCACTTGCCAGTGATGGATGGCATCCCCACCCCCAGTACCTGCCTGCACCATTTCCCAACCAAATAGTTCAGGCATGAGTTTATCTTGAGAAATGTTTTCATACCAATAGCTACCATTTATTGAGTGCTTGCTCTATATTTATTGTTAATAGGACTGGACCTTTGTGCTCAGCATTTTATGTTCATTGCTTCATTGACTCCCCAAACAATCCCATGAAGTAAATGCTATTATTATCCTCCTTTTTGAGATGAGCAAAGGAGCTGAGAAAGGAAGAAAATCACTCCAAGTTACAGGGTGGAAAGTGATGTAGTGGGGGCCGCAGCCCAGGCCTGGCTTCCACAGCCTTGCTTTCAGTACATAGGCTATGAATGTTCCAAGTCTCTCTTATTAATTAGAGTCTCCTTTGGAACAAACAATAAACCCATAAATATTTGCTGAACCCACAATCAGCACCCCACAAGGTTCTCTGAGGTCACGGAAAGTCCCAACATGGGACTTAAAACCAGGGGAGAAAAGAGTAACACAGGAAGAGGATAAAGAACAACCCACATCCATGTAAAATTAAGCGCCAAGAACGTGGTGATGAAATAGCACACCCTTGGGAGGTGCTGAGTGTGGGGAAGGGGACAGAGATGGAAGGAACCCGTGGAGAAGCGGCCGACTGAATACTGTAGGTATTTGAGAGGCAGAGAGGGAAGAGAGCTCCGACTGAGAGAGGTAGAGGGCTGTGGGAATTAGCCTGGTGACGGCTTTCATGAGAACACAAATATAAACCATAAGCCATCACACGCAGCGTTTATGGTCCAAATAATGAGTGATTTCTCGGAAAATGCATTTAAACCTAAACGCTGAGCAGCTGTGTTAATTGCTAGGTTAGTTCCAGCTGTGTCTTACCTGTGTCGAATCGCAAATTTTACGCAGTAATCCCAAAGTAACATAGAAACTCTGAACAGGAGCTCTGCTGTGGGATGGAAACCACCCTCTGCAGTCAGAGGTGAGTTTTCTTTCTAGCTTGGTGGGGTGTTTATGGGAAAGCCCTCTGCTTTAGCAGTGTATTTTTATTTTTTGCCTTCGGGCAGTGGTGCCGATGTTATCAGAATGGTGTCGCATGTTTTTTTTCTTCTTCTTATAGGAGATTGTAATTGGTTTTCTACACTCTGGTGTGTTTTGTAAATTCGGTTTATAGGCGTAGTAAAAAAAAAAAATCCCTCATGGGAACCAATTTTCAATTTAATCTTGTAAG